TGTGTTTCCTTCTTTTGTTTTCCTTATTTGTTCGTTTTGTCTTCTTTTATTTATTTATTTATTCGTTTTGGTTTTAGTTTTGTTTTATTTATTTATTTATTTATTTTATTTGTTTTGTTTATTTGTTTTGTTTTTCTCTTCGTTTTGTTTCTTTATGTAACTCATCTAATTCTCTGTTTTGTTTGTTTTTATTTTTATATGCTCTCATTTCAATTGCTTTCTTTACTTTGTTTATTTTATTTATTTTATTTATTTTATTTTATTTATTTTATTTATTTTATTTATTTTATTTATTTTATTTATTTTATTTATTTTATTTTATTTGCTTTGAGGGTTAAGGATATCCGAGAAGTGTCTTCCCCTGCAGCACCAGAAAAAAAGAAATAAAATAAAAAAAATAAAAAAAAAAAACAAAATAAAACAAAATAAAACAAAATAAAACAAAATAAAACAAAATAAAACAAAATAAAACAAAATAAAAACAAATAAAGAAACAAAATAAAAACAAAACAAAACAGGAAATAAAAGAAGAAAGAAACGAAAACAAACAAAAAAAAATTAAAAAAAAGAAGAAAAATAAAAATGACGGCTCTTTTTTTTTGAATTTGAATTTTGCTGTATTCAGGTGTACATACACCCCAAAACAAAAACCAAAATAAAATAAATTAAAATAAAATAAATTAAAATAACTTTATTTAATGTGTATATACAGCTGAATAAAACTAAATTAAAATAAATTAAATTAAAATAAAATAAAATAAATTGATTCTTATTTGAGGTGTATATACACCTGAATTAGCTCCGCTAGGTTAAGGAAACGAACATTTTTTATTTGGGGTGTATATGCAGCTCAATAAACCTAAATTAAATTAAATTAAATTAAATTAAAATAAATTAAATTAAATTAAAATAAATTAAAATAAAATAAACTTTTATTTATTTTGTATATATACACCTGAATGCTAGAAAGAATAACCTTATTTGAGGTGTATATACACCTAAATATAGCCTTTTTCTGCCAAACTAAAATAAAATAAATTAAAATAAAATAAATTAAAATAAAATAAATAAAATAAAATAAAATAAATAAACATTTATATTTGAATAAATACTTATTCTGATAGATTAAGAAGAGAGACTCTGAAGAAAGAATAACTAAATTTGTGGTGTATATACACCTAAAAAATGACTTTTTCTGCCAAACTAAGACGAAATAGACTAAAATAAAATAAAACAAAACAAAATAAAATACAATAAAGTAAATAAAAATAAAATAAAACAAAATCTTACTCTGATAGGTTAAGAAGAAGAGACTCTGAAGAAAGAATAACCTTATTTGTTGATTTGGCGATAGTCTGAGCCACTTCTCTTGCGGCATCAATTCTTCGTAGCTCTAGGAATGCTGGATTTGTCTTTATTGCGTTTCCTATCTGTATATAAATAAATAAATAAATAAATAAATAAATAAATAAATAAATAAATAAATAAATAAATAAATAAATAATATTGTATTGTATTGTTTTAAATTAATTTAATACAACAAATTGAATTGGAAAAAAAGAAATACAGAAAACGCCGTCAATAAATAAATTAAAAAAAAAAATAAAAAAAGAAATAAAACAAAAGAAAAAGAAAAAATAAATTAAATACATAAACATTCTATAAAAAGAAAGAAAATACACGAAGCTAAAAAAGAGAAAAAATAAAATAAAATAAAATAAAAAAATACAAACAGAAATTAAATTAACTAACAAAA